TGCGCCCCCGGCCCCTCTGTTCCCTGGGGTCCTCAGCCCCGTGCTCGCTGCTCGCGCCGCCGCTGTCCGCGGTGCTGATCCAGAGCAAGCCCCGCCGTCAGGCGTCCCTTCTCGGGTCCCCAGGGGCTGCGAGGGGCGGCTGGCCACACGCACCCCACAGCCCGGTAGCGTCCGGCGCTGCGTCGCAGCCGCGAGCGCCGCCCCCGCGCCCCCACCCGCAGTCCTGACGTCAGCCCAACTGGAGCTGCCGCGCGCCCCGCCCCCGCGTCTCCAGGGCAACCGTGGCTTTCGATTGTTACTGTGGGAACTGGAGGTAACAGTCTACAGCCATGGTCGCCCCGCAGCACGCCCACGCACCGCGCCACGCTGCTCACCGCCTGCTCAGTAAGGGGGAGACCGAGAGGAAGAGAAGGCGGGGTGGGGGGGGGGCGAGTCAAAATTCAAGGTATCTGCGGGGGTGGCGGGAGTTTTGGCGCAGGCGGGCGGGTTCTTCCAGGGTCTAATGACCGCGCTTCCACCCGAGCAGAGAAGGAAGCCGTGTGAGCGCAGTTCTGTCTGCCCATCCAGCTCAGTGACTGTTTTGTTCTCCTAGCCAAGGTATTGCAGACAGAGGATGGCGAGAAAAGGGGTAGTTAATGAAATTTGGGTCCTTTTTAGCGCCTCTGTGGGAGGGAGACTGCTGGGACTCTGAGGCAAGAACAAAATGTTTGCCTCCTGGGTACTGAAGTGGGTAGACAGAGGAAGGTTTTCCTAAATATGCCACAATCTCACTCTTCCGAGAACCCTTAGCTGAGTAGGCAGAGGGCAGAGTAATTCTTGAACCCATTTTCTGGTGGAGTTGCAGCCTCCCTTCTTTCCTCTCCCCACTCTGCTCCTCTGAACCATGTAGGATAAGGAAGATTCCCAAACCTCAGGAAGCCAGTGGGCCTGTAAAGTTAACCAGGCCCAGGAACTGTTGTCTGAATTTACTAACATCCTCCCCTCCGTCTATCTCTAGGTGATGGATCCCAGTTGGAGACTATCTCAAAGTAGCCCTAAAGAGGGGGAGTGAATCAGAAGGGCCTGGTAGCGTCGTCCGGCGTTGTGCCAGGCCCAGATTGTGCCAGTAAAGTGTGAGCCATGACCTCTTCAAAAACATTGTGTAGGTCACCTACCGCCACCAACGTCACCTATGGCAGGGGCTGACTGTTGGATATTGGGTGCAGGACTTCCCTAAGGACAATACTGGGAATGATTAATGCAACCCAGCCCTGCCAACAATTAATCCAATTTTTAAAAAGATATTATTTATTTATCTTTAGAGGGGAAGGGAAGGAGAGCGGAAGAGATATCAATGTATGGTTGCCTCTCCTGCGTCCCCTGCTGGGAACTGGCCTGCAACCCAGGCATGTGCCCTGACTGGGAATCCAACCGAGGTTGTTTGGTTCGCAAACCCTCGCTCAATCCACTGAGCTACACCAGCCAGGGCCCAATTTTTCTTTACTTTTTCCATACATCTTCCTTTCCATTAAATTCTTTTTTTTTTTTTAGATTTTATTTATTTATCTTTAGAGGGGAAGGGGGGAAGGAGAGAGGGAGAAAAACATCAATGTATGGTTGCCTTTCGTGCTTCCCCTGCTGAGAATTGGCCTGCAGGGAATCGGCCTGCAACCCAGGCATGTGCCCTGACTGGGAATCCAACCACGATCCTGTGGTGGGCAGGCCAGGGCTCAATCCACTGAGCTACACCAGCCAGAGCTAAATTCTTATTTATTTTTATTTCCTCCTCTTCTAAATTTCTAAGACAGCTGGTGCCAGTTTCACAGCTACTCGGCGCTCACCTGCTGCCTTCCTCCCACCCAGGGACCCTGGGGTCATATATTAAAACGAAGTCGATTCTGGAATCCAGTGGACATCGCTGGCAGATGCAGTGCATGTAGGTGGGAGCATGCACTACAAAGCAGGTGGTCCAACCAGGCTTTGTCACCAACTGGTTGTTACTTAAGGGGCCATGTTGCTTCTAAGCTTTCTGTAAAATGAGTTGATCCTTTTGGGCAAGCCTGATGTGAGGATCAAATAGGATGATGTAAGTAAAAACCATTTAAAACCACAAAATGCTATTTTGCTCTTAAGTACTATTCAATTAGGCCACTATGTCTGTGAGGGGGGTGGTGTTGGGGAGACCCCCGGTCTGGACACTTAGGCAGAGTGAACACGGGAGGGGCCTCCGAAGACTCAGTTGCTGTCTGAGCAGGACCTCAGGGACTCGGGCTGTTGAGAGGTTCTTTGCCAAGGGACTCTTCCAATCGCTTCAGGGATCTAAAGTGGAGTGAAAGGTAGGTAAGAGAAATGCAGGGATGTTCTTGAAAAGAAGAGACCAAGTCTTTTGCAGTTGGACCCCATCTGGAGAACCTGGACAGAGGGGAAAATAACCAGAAGACTGACTGTACGATGTTAAAGAGTTTTTTAATATCTTGGAAATAATTTAATGCAGTCCACTCCCCAACTTACTTTATGAATTAGGGAGGTGAGGCCAGGAGAAGACATTTAGCCCAACCGTAGTGAGTGGTGGTCTGTGCTCCCCTTCAATGGGGCAGCAGAGAAAACAATGACTAATAAAGGTCAATCATGAGAGTTCGGGAATCTGAATGAACTTTGGGTAAGTTACTTAGCCTCTCTGTACCTGTTTTCTCAGTTGTAAAGTTAATAATAGTATCTCCCTCAGAATTTGTGAAGATTAAATTAGACAACTATAAAGCTCTATTTATCACAATGACTGGCATAGTTCGCACTGATTAAATGCTATTGCTCTTTCTAGCCTCTGGATCTCCTTTTCCTTAGTTATAAATTGAGAATGTTAGGTCAATGAATCTTGAGAGCTTGCTCCCCCTCCCTAGTGGAGTGCCTGAGAATCACAGGGCAGGCTTTTATCAAATGACATTAACAGAGACTTACATTTTACTCTCTAAGCAGTGGTTTTCAGATGGCATATTGTGTGAAAATAGCCAGATAACTTGTCAAAGTAAATTCCTGGGTCCCAGTGATTGACTCAGTGGATCTGGAGTTTGGTCCAGGAATCCAAGGTTTAACATGATGAAGATGCAAACGGTCCACAGAATCTTTGTGTGTGGGTGGGTGAGTGCAGGGGGCTGTACACAGACCCTCTAGGATTCTCAGCTGTTCCTGGAGGGCATGATGCCAGGCAACAGTGTCTCGCTTGTTGGAACCAGTGGATCACATGACCTGCCCTTTCAGGGGGATTTTATGCCTCTTGGGGAAAATTCTCATCCCAGGCATGAATGCTTCTACTACACCCAGTACTGCTTCCTTCACCCTTCTGACTTTAAGCCCTGGCTTAAAATTCATTCCGACTTCTCTTCTTTCAACCTTCACAATAACCCAAGTACCAGTAGCTATGGTACACAAGCCATCGTTTTCACCTCTTGGGACCTTGCTACAGGGGCAGCCTGTGATGGCCACGAGAGTTCGTGAACCCTGAACTGCAGAGCCACTGCATCCACTTCAAACCACTTATTTCCAGAGAAGCCAGGAATCCTAATTTTTTTGTGAAATTACTAAAAGTTTAAACTCCATAAATCTGATTTTTTCTAAAATTGTGTAGGCCAAATCCAACAGGTCTATAGGAGTAATTCAGTCCGTTTTAGACTCTCCACCTTTTACCAAGGAAGAGACCCCTTTACACAACAAGAGCAAGGCCCTGCCTGGTGTGGCTCAGCTGGTTGTCACCCCACAAAGCTAAAGGGTCACCAATCGATTCCCAGTCAGGGCACATGCCTGCGTTGTAGGATTGGTCTCTGGTTGGGGTGCAGAGAGGCAATTGATCAATGTTTCTCTTCCTTCTCTTTCTAAAGAAAGTAAGTACAATAAAAAATAAAATAAAAAATACACCAAGAACAAGGCAGAGACAGAACTGTGGCAAAGAACTTTCCTCGCCCCTCACTTTCTGCTGTAAAGATCCTAAACCCAGTAAACTGGGTGTGTCCAGGCAGGTAACTCCAGCTGTAGAAAAAAAAATTATCTTGGACAGCTGCTGTCTACTGTGCAGAACTTAGAATTTGGGGTAATTTAAGGACTGTTAGTCTGGTTGTCTCAGGATGGGCTGGAGTATTTGTGCTGCATCCCCAAACTTAGTTTCTGCTCCATGACTTAAATCCCCGGGGGGAACCATGCTTGAGGCATAGAGAGGATCTGTTCAGATGTTCTAGAGGAACAAGTTGGTGAGCCTGAGGAGGTGGGACTGAAGTCAGAGAGCAGCTGGGGCAGAAGGTGGGGTGCTGAAGGTAGGGAAATGGCTGAAGCGGGCAGGCTTTAGCGCACCGAGAAACAATCACACACCCAGTAGGCAGCTCAGGCTTTGGCTGGGACCCCTACAGTGCAGCATCAATCTCCGAAACTATGCAAATGGGGGCAAGTTTGCAAAGGGTTTCCTCTAACTTTGGCCTCCATCCAAGGTTTATCACCATCCCACCCTTTGAGCTCATAGTTCACAGGAGCCAAGGCGGTTATGGAGGAGAAAGCGGAGAACACAAGAAGCCAGGGTCTGACAAGAGGCCAGCACACAGCTGTCGGGGATCACGATGGAAGAAGCCTGGACTTAGTGTGGTCCAGGTGGAGCCTTATGTGGTAATCTTTTCCTAGAACTTCTGATATAAATCCTTCCCTGACTCAGCAAGACCTCCTTTCCTTCAGGGTGGTACTGAAGACCTCCACCAAAAATGTATGAGCGTGTGTACACACATACACAAGCCTCTCCTGGGGGCTCCTAACTGGAAACACCTCTGTTTGGAGCTGCCCTGGAGGCGGTGCAGATGGGGAAATTTTTTTTTAAGACTTTATTTTAGAGGGGAAGGGAAGGAGAGAGGGAGAAATATCAATGTATGGTTGCCTCCTGCGTCCCCCACCGGGGACTGGCCCACACCACAACCCAGGCACATGCCGACTGGGAATGAACCTCGATCATCTGGTTCACAGGCCCACACTCAATCCACTGAGCTACACCAGCCAGGGCCAAAATTTCTCTTTATTTTTTTTGTATCAGGAAAAGATGCTCAAAATCTAAATTGCTTTATTTTGTGGCAGTCACAATGGTGCCAACCCCTGCTTTTTCCATGTTGGAGTACTAGATACCAAGGTGAAAGTCTGTTAAGGCCTCCTGCTCCCCATTTCCTTGAGTGCAGAGCTGGGCTTATATAATTTTTTTTTTTTTTAAGATTTTATTTATCTTTAGAGGGGAAGGGAAGGAGAGAGGGAGAGAAACATCAATGTATGGTTGCCTTTCCTGCGTCCCCTGCTGGGAACTGGCCTGGCAGGGAACCGGCCTGCAACCCAGGCATGTGCCCTGACGGGGAATCGAACTACGATTGTCTGGTTCGGAGGCCCGCGCTCAATCCACTGAGCTACACCAGCCAGGACTAATCTGTTTTTTTTTTAAGAATTGATATTTGTCTCTTAATTGGAGATGGTGAGATGGTGAGGGGCACTAACAACAGTGGAGATTCCAGGGTAGGGAAAAGGGGAGGGCAGGAATCAGAGTCTACCCCAAATTCTGTGTCCCGATTGGGGGTGGTAAGTAGGATATGGAAACCCAGGCATTTGTTGATCTTTCACTCTGCAAACTGGTCCAAGAACTTAAGGTAGGCCTGGCGCTGGGGTGCAGCTACTGGAATGAAGTGGCCACCAGAGTGGGTGAGAGTGATGGATCCCGTGAATCGGCTAGCCAGCTCCATACTCTCCTGACAGGGGATGACTTGGTCAGTGTCCCCGAAAACATGGAGTGAAGGCAGTGAAAAGGGGCCCTGCAGGATGGATTCCCGGAGGCCAAGGCCCCTAGGACAGAAACCGGATACCAGGATGATAAACCTTGGCAAGGGGAAGCGGGAATCGCCTGCTTGGCCGAGGGCACACACAAAGGCTGCTAACGCAGCCCCCTGGCTGAAACCAAGGAGCCCGTCGAAAGGTCCCAGAGTGTTCAGTGCCCGTGCCACCGTTCCCAGTGCTTCCTCCAGTCCTCTGCACACTGTGGGCTCTTTTAGTGCGAAGAAAACGTCTGTCTCCTGTTCTGAAAACCACCAGCCTCGAAGCTGCTCCTCCGGAGGGCAAGACCCTACAGCGATATGGGAGATAGGGGTTAGGGCAAAGGGGAATGCTGCTGGAAAGAAATGAGAATGACAGGGAGAGGCGGCTAAGGAGAGAGTACAAAGTCTGGGGGAAGTGAGGTTGGGAACAATGGCATGGAGGGGTGGTGGTGCGGTACAAATCAAGGTGGAAATCTGGGAGGCTGGGGTGGCAGAAATGACAGGTATGGGCAGAATGAACTGGAAGGGTGGGAGGAATTAGTGAGGATACAGGGAGAAGGGGTGCTGAGGATATTATGGAGACGAGGCAAGATGCAGAAGACTCGTAGTGCATTTCCGGGACATGACTCCTCTCACCGGACTCCAGCAAGGGGCCCGCTGCGTCCACTATCGGGTGCGGGCCACTGAGGCACACGAGCTCGGCGCGGCCCCGCAGCGCTTTCCTCAGCGCTCCGGTCTTCTCGCGGAAGCCCCGCTCGCTCTGCCGGAAGCCAGCCAAGCACAACACTCGCAGAGGTCGCTGGGCCGCCATAGCGGTAAGCAGCGCGCCAGAGAACGGAAGCAGCCTTTCCCCGAGCGGAAGTTGAATTACAGTGGGGGGCGGGGCCAAACGTCAGCACCACCCTGAAGGCGGGCCTCAGAGCTAGCGGGCGTTCCCATAACAACACGGAAGGGTAAGGCGCAGCCAAAGCAGAGCGGATACCTGAGACCCAGGATCATCTCATTGAGCAAGTGGCACCACCTTCTCATCTCTGCAGCTGCAACCCTCGCAAGTCACGTCTGGAGAAGGACGCAAGGGCCCCTCCTGCACCTGAAGTCGCACACTTCGGTCAGGATCCGGCTTCTACGGCGTCCTTCATCCCTCTCTTGTATTTTCAGTAGCGGCCGCGAGGCGGCGGCCACAGCTCGCGTCGCTAGGGAGCTACCACTCCTCCCTCCTTGGGAGTCCCTGCCTACCTTCCCCAGCGCAGGCCGCAGCGGGGCCTGGGCGGGCCCGTCCCGTCCGTGGTTCACTGTCCATGGACCCAACGAGCTGCTGGCATAAAAGTCCATGGGGTAGGGCTGCTGCCAGGAAATGTCCTTCAGGGCCACCGCCGCCTAAGGGAGGAGAACCGGACAACACTTGCCAATATTTTTCTGCACAGGATTATTTAATCCAATCCTCACAAGGGTCCTTGAAGGTCCTATTCTCAACACACCACAGAGGAAATGTCAGGTTCAAAGAGGTTAAGAGATTTGCCTAAGGCCACTTGGTCAGGAAGTGGCCCAGCTGTAAATAAGTGCTGCCCACCTACCCGACTCCACTTTAGATCCCAGAACCAGGTATAAAGCCCACTCTCTCAAATGTTGGTGTTACCTCATAGGGTGTCAGCAACGGCTTGGGGAAGGCTGTGCCCCAGTCAATGGAGAGGCGTGGGCATGCCACCTGTACCCACCTGTGAAGGGAAGTCAGATCAGACTCAAGGGAGGACTTCCCCCTCTCCTGGACAGCAAGCTGAAAAAGGTGACCATGTCCCCAACACAGCCAGTGAATGCTTACTATGAATTCTAAAGTAAAGGCTGGAACTTACTGCTGTTTAGAATAACACTTACAGTGTTGCTTGTTTTCTCCACTGACTACATGCTTTCAGAGGGCAGGGAGGGCCTGGGCAGCTGCTCTGTGATAGTATCCCCAGAATCAAATTTAGTGCCTGGTACAACACAGGTGCCAACCACCCCTCCCACTCATCTCACACAGAACCACTTTGAAGCTGCAGTTGCCTGTGAGCTCCAAGACAGACTAAGTATGACCTAGCCCCTGCTGGATGAGTGTTCTGTAAACATCACAATTTCATGATTCTGGAAGCAATTCCCATTGACTCCAGCCTTCAGTATGTGCTGGGCAGGAACCAGCTTCCAAACTTTCTTAGCCAGGCCTAGCTAGGTGGGTGAGGTGGGGAAACTTACACATCTACCTGAGGAAGCAGGCTAAGCTTGCTGGGAAAGATCTCCGACAGCAGCAGCCTCACAAAGGGAAGTTTGGAGGCTCGGAGTCTAGATTCCAGGTGCTGTTGGTAGAGAGAGGGAGGCAGAGCTGGAGTCACCATGACCAAACTGCCAAGGCTAAGTTCTTCAGCCTACTGATTTTTCCTGCTGGGTTTCCCAGTCAGTCCCCTCCTCCAAATGCCGTCCCAAGCCCTCTGACCTCCAGAATCTTGGGGCTGCCCTGGCGGCCCAGAGTGCCCAGGATAAGGCCCCAGGATTTAGCTGAACGGGCAGTGGCTATGGCTTCTTGGCGGTTAGTCTGCATTCGCTGATGGTCGTAGTGTTCTCTGGATAGAACTTTGCTGTATGGGTCGTATCTGGGGAAAAAAGCTGTCAGGGTCACAGTGATGGCCACTCATGGGACTTGGGCTGTACACACAGCCCCCTGCCTCAGCCCCTCGGTGTCCTGAAGCTTCGGGCTCTATGCAGGTAATTAGGAACATAGGCAAGAGTGTGGACTGTCATTGGGAAGATCAGACCCACAGCTCGAGCAGGCAAGAGTGGAAGAGGGTTTTAAGACGTCTGTGTGAATCCCAGGGGACGGGTGGGTACTCTGCAGCAGCAGCCCTTGGTTCGACATCCAGATTCAGGACCCAAGTACCTCAGATCTTTAAGGCTGGGGGCTGTTAAGTAGCCAGAGAATGAGGAGGTTTTGGCTGACTGAGGGCCCCAGTGACAGAGAATCCCACCCTCTCCCTAGCTGGTCAGCCCATACCTGTAAGCAGGGACATGGGGATTGGCAATCATAACAGACTCCAGATGGAAGCGGCCATCTCCAAGATATCTGCAGGGGGTTAGAGAGGAGGCGGTAAGTGTGGGAGGGGCAGCAGCAGAAGCAGGCACTGGCTTGGGTTCAGAGGACTGAGTTCCTGGCTGGCTGTGCTACCACCTGTGTGTGAACTGGAATAAGTCATCTCACCTCCTAAGGTCTTGGTTTTCTCACAGGGTAAACTTGGTAAAACAAGGAGTTTGAGTTGGATTACCATAAAGCCCCTCCAGTTATGCAGAATCTAAGAATGCCCCCATCCCCTAACATTCTGGGGGAGGAGTAAAGGCATGTCTGAGGCCAGGAAAGGCCACCCCAGGCTGTGGAGATCCTAACTTGGAAGTGGGGGCCCAGATTCTCCTTCGCTCAATACAGACAAGGGCAGCAGTCAGTCATCTATCCTGTAAATGAGGTTTCAGGGTATACACTGGCTCCTCTCTGTCCTAACTACCTAACTACCTCTTGAGTCCAGTTCCTGAGTTGTGACAATAGCTACTGTTTACTGGGCTCCTGCCTTCTGTGCACTGGCCGGGCTAAGCACCTGGCATGTGTGACTTCACTCAGTCCTATCCAGTAATTCTCCAAGCTACTACAGTGATCCCATTTTACAAGATACAACTGAGGTTCAGGGACGTTAAGAAACTTGCCCAAGTCACAACTACTAAGCACTATATTTGGGACTCCACACTAGGCCTAACTCCCAGAAGGCTGTACCCAGCATGCCCTGGGAGATGCTACCTCTAACAGTGCCTTCCGAGAGATAAAGAGGCCAGAGCAGGGAAGACAATCTGCCACAGCAGCTCCTTCCCTGGGCACCCACACTGAATTCTGATGAATGGCTAACACTCGGGGTGTCCCTCCCTCCAACACACACACTTCGCATGCCCCACAGGTAGACATCTGAAAGCTCAGTTATGCAGGCACAGGGAAAAGTCACTTGGGAAGCAGGACTGCCAGGTCAGAGCTGGGGACAGCCCTGATGTGGGCCTGTCCATGGGCAGGGTGCCTGTGTGGGCACAGCAAGGCCAGCATCTGTAGTCCCAAAGATGGGGCTCAGTCAGGGGAGTGCCCCTGCCTGCTTTCCTGCCATTAGCTGGGAATGGGGCTCCCCTCCCCAGTCCCAGCTGAGAGCTGTCGGCTCTGAGGCTGGCTGCATTCACACAACATTAAGCATTTCCATTACCTAAAATAATTAGGCAGCAGGAGACACGCTGCTCCTGCTTGTTAGCTGTCCGGATGCTAAATTAATGGGGCTACAGCCTGGGTGTGCCCATCCATCTTCTCCAATTATATTCCCACCATTTCTAGCCCACCTTCAGCCCCTATCAGACTCTCTGATTTCTGCCTCACCCGGGCACAGCCTTTTGGATGGTGGACAGCGCAGTGGAGAGGGAAACAGAACACCTGAAAACCTGTTTGGTCTCCGTCTTGCAGGGTGACCTTGAGCGAATGGTTAAGGAGTTTTAGACTCTGAGGGTATACTTTGTACATCTCTACAACTGGCACCCCCATTTTTCACTTACACAACAGCCTCTGCCTCTCTGGGCAGGTAGGGGGATGTGCAGCCCAGAATCTCTCCAGGGGACAGGGGCTTGCACTGTGGGACACTCACACGATACTCAGCTTTCAGCTCCTGGGCAACTGCCTGTAGGGAAAACGGGAGAAGGAAAGCGAGTGGATGCAGGGCGGGGGAGAGCCCGGGCCGGAGGACCAGCCTGCAGCACCCGGAGGGGGACCCGGAAATAGGTGGCAGACTGGCTGCTTTCTGCCCACGTACCTGCAAGGTCGACACAAACTGTATGGTGCTGACCAGGGCAAGGGCGCTGGACGGGGGAAAGGTGAGGCGGAGAGAGTCCAGTAGGTGGGCAGTGTCTATCCGGATGTCCACAAAGACATACAGCACCCGAAAGTCTTGGGCAGAGGTGTCCATGGGAACTAGGAGGAGGGAAGAGTTCAGGAGACTTTGTTTTGGAAGGAAGGAGGGGCAGAGGGCCTGGCCTAGGTCAAGGTCTCTGAGCAGCCAGGACAAGTGGCTTCAGGCTAGGGATAGAAGTGTGGTGTTGGGGGGGATGGTGGGCGGTCACAGGTCCCTTAGAAGCTCTTTCTCTGTCACTTGGCTGGGGGCCCAGTCTGCTACACCATCAGAAGTCTTTCAAACACCCGCATCTGGGACAGCAGCATGGTTTCCAAGGCAACAAAATCCAAAGGAAAACGCAGGAAGGCTGAGACCATCCCAGAAACCAGGAAGGACCTCATGCCCACAAGGCGCTGTGATGAGGACCAGCGTGCAGTCCTGCCTCCCTACCAGCCCTGCCAGGGTCCAGGTGTGCTGGTCTGCCATACCCAGGCAGCTGTGGCCATAGTGCACCAGGAAGTCAGCTCCCAGGGCCCTTGCAGTAAAGTCATCCACGCAGCAAGCCCCATAGGTCACATCACCCATCACCATCACTTCGGCCTCTGTGAACCTGTGGGGGCAACAATGGAGAGGTAGGGAGAGAGGAGCTGAGCCCTGAGGTGCCTCCCCCATAGCGACACAAGGAGTGAGGTGGAAGAGAGACCTCACCCTCAGGAGGCACCTCAGGGCCCAGCTCCTCTCTCCCTACCTCTCCCAATCCCTCGGGTAGGCAGCTACCATTTCTGCCAACAAAGAGGAGGAGGGGCCCAGCTGTCACCTCCTCCAGCCCCGGCAGCAGCTCCTGAGCCAGAGGATGGTCTCTGTAGCACCTTGATTCCTCTGCTCATCCTCAGACTACAAGCGGAACCCCCAAATCTCAGACTGGCATACACAGGGTCAAACAAAGACCCCTCGATGGCCTGACTCATCCCACCCCGAGCAGTGAGCATGCACACAAGTGCAAAGGCACCTGCCCCCACACACTGGCACTGTGGGGCACGTGGGCACGCACATGTGGGCACGACGACCTCCCTGATGCCCAGACCCCCGCTGCCTCCTCACCCTTAGTCAGGGCCCTCTGTGCCCAGGATGGGGGCACCCATGCGCAGCTCCCCCACAGCACATGGCACCGCCCACACACCTCATGTGTCAGGAACAGTGGGCTCTGGCCAACACATTGCCATGGGATCTGCTGCCAGGCCTGAATCACTGTGGGACGGGGGTGGGTGGGGAAGACCCCTCACCTCCTGAACCCACTTCAGGAATGGAGCAGAGCACCAGCTCTTTCCCGAGACCCATCCCCAGGCATGTACCCTGTCTCAGTGAGTGGGGTCTCCCCATGCCTCTCCTGGGAGCAGGCTGGGGAAAGCTTAACTGTCGCCAGTCACTCCCCAACCCCTCCTCCCCCACCCCCAAATCAGGTTGTACAGAAGCAGATTATTCAACTCCTTAGAATGCAGCCCAGGCATCTGAGTCAGCCTGAGTACTTAATTTTTTATAGATTAAAATGTATGCAAATTAGCCCAAGCCCCAGAGAGCATCCCTAAGGGGCAAGAGGGTGGGAAGAGGAAGTGAGTCTGTGGCAGCAGGATGAGGAGCCGGGTGGGGGAAGGGCAGCAGCAGGGAAGTGGGAGGTTCCCATCATGAGATGACCTCCCCTTTCTCCATTCCCTCTCCCCATTCCTGTGATGGAACCAGATGGCTGAGCACTCACCCCCACCCCCCAAGGATGGCTCATTGTATTGAAGAAACTTAGACAAGGGGGTAGAGGAACTGAATACCATCTCCAAGGCACCTCTCCCCCGCCAAGCCCCTCCCTGCCCTATTCCCCAAGATGTGCCAGAAAAAAAGGCTCCCCCTAGCCAGACCCTGCGCTGACTACTCAACCCATTCCAGGGTCGGTACTGAGGATTCCTAGGTTCCTCCTCAGGCCCCACCACCTGCTCTATCTTAATTTTGTTTTTTTCCCCCTTTGTGTGTCTATGGTTGAAGGCAGAGATCCAGAAGAAAGAATGAGATCAACAGGCAAAGCAGTAATTAATGAGCATGGGATCTCGGCCCAGCTCCTTCTCCAGTGCCCTAAGCCTCACCTTTCCAAGATGTCCACAATGGTGCAGGCGAAGAGGAGGAGGCCTTCAGGCATCTGCAAGGCCACTGCAAGACAAGGCAGAGACATGAGAGCAGGAGGATGGGAAGAGGCTGGAATGGGGTCACTGCCCCTAACCGGCCAGGCAACCTCTCCACCCCCACCCCAGCTCAAAGCTTGGGGGCTCACCTTTCTTGGCCTGGGCCTGCTGGATCCTCCAGATGGTCTTGGGGATTTCAAAGTTATAGTTGGAAGGAAGAACTCGAATGGCTGCCTGCAGCTGGGGGTTGTTCAGGATCTCAGGGGGGATCTGATTGGCTACGCGGCGCCGAGGGGCTCGACCTAGATGAACATTGAGACCCTAGTCACACCCAGCTAAACTACTAGCTCTACTCATATTTCAATCCCAGATCCCAGATGTGTTGGGGCTTGGCCCTGCCATCTTCCCCACTGAGTTCATCCTGGAGCTGGAAAGAAAACTCATTATTAAGCCAGGAAGAAACCTGCACAATGAATTTCCATGTTGTGAGATTATTGGAAATCAAAGACTTGTGCCCATGAATGGGGTATGGTTCACCCCTCACCTCGGGAAACCAGATGTGATACCAGTGGACCGAATTGAGGAGCCAATGGAAAACAAATCCATACAACTGCTCCTTGATAGAGAACAGTCCTAAAGAAAAACCATGAGCCAAGGCAGCCCAAGTATTCTGGGAGAATGTCCCTCCTCCTGCTACCTGAGAATACCTTGAGGTTCTGAAGTCCTAGATAAGAGATCTGTCAGCAAACTGTTCTAAGTGCTCATTTTAATGGCTGCTTTCCTTACCTGAGCATACTGATTATGTCTACAATGGTTAGTTCCTGCACTCCCCTCTTCTCATTTAAAAAGGAAATAAACACCAAGCACTTAACTGACTTCAGTTCCCTAGTCCTATTGCTCCACCCTGCCTCCTACCCCAGTAAGGACGGAAAGAACAATTTAGTCAGACTGTGGGCAAATAGGTAAAGACAGAAAAGTGGCCTCAACCTTTAGGGGGCAGTAGTGTAATGGGGGCAAATGTCGGTATGTAAATAATTACAAACCCTTGATTAAAGTTTTTTTTAATCCTCACCCAAGGATATGTTTATTGATTTTAGTGAGAGGAAGGAAGAGAGAGAAACACTGATCAGCTGCCTCCTGTACACGCCCCAACCAAAGATAGAACCCACAACCTAGGTGTGTGTCCTGACTGGGGAGTGGACCACAGCCTTATGGTGCACGGGATGATGCTCCAACCAAGCCACCTGGCCAGGGCCTAGTTACCTCTTTAGGAGCCAGACAGTTTGAGAATTTGGCAAGAAATTAATTTACTGAACAAATATTGGTTAAACCTGTACTATGTGCCAGAACTTCTGCTAGGGCCCCTCACTATAATAGGCAGGTTCCTCCCAGACCTGGTCCTTCACCCTGTGTGTGTGGTGGTGGGGGGAGGGGGGCTTGGGAGGGAGTAGGTGGGTGGGTGGGGCAGTGGTGGTGATGTTGCGGAGCAGAACTAGCATGTTTAGCTGGGACCCTGAGACTAGATTTGAATGTCATCACTGCTATGGTTTTGTTCAGTTATTTCAAAAGCCTTGGAACAACCAGCCCAGTGTCTCTGAGCCCCTCACAGAAGCTCCTCTCACAGGTCTACGTCCCTTGTGGTTTTGCTACACTATCTGGGTAGTCTTAGCAGCTCAATTTGTCCCAAGAGTCAGTAGGTGCCTCCTCCTTTTATCACGTGGCTAAATCTTCTGTTTACATTAGTGTTCCTCGGAAGACTGAGGTACCCAAGGGCAAGGCTGTAGTCTAGTCCCCGCACCTTGCACAGGCCTGGTATTCTGTGAGCGCTCAGAAAGTGCCTGATGACTAAAACCACTTGCCCCGACCCTGAAAGCACACCCAGCGAGACCACTGTGGAATGCCTACTGCAAAGCTCCTGGCTCCTCACCGCCCCCCCCCCCCAACCCCAGTCAGGACGATCTTTCCCGTGAGTGTTCACGCGTCTATACGAGGGCTAAGGCAGGGGACAGTGTTTCCGGCTTAAGAATTGCAAGTTCCTAGAAGGGGCTGCTCACAATCCCGCCCTAAGTCTACAAAAGAGACACTGGTCCCCCAGGCTCGGGTGACAGCCGCCACAGACAGACGCCGGGAACTTCCAGGTCTGGTGGAGAAAGGAGGCTGGTCCTGTCTCTAAGTTGGGAGGCCTACCCCGAGATGCAAGGTCTAGAGGCCGCTGCGTTGTAGCACCCACCTCTGCCAGGGCCGTTTCGGCCGCCCAGCTCCGCTGCCTCGGCTGTGACCAGCGCCATTACCGGCCTGCCCACGTGGGAGCCAAAAAGACAGCCCTAGAGGAACGTAGAGAGCGCAGCCATCGCAGTTGCTGGCGGAAGGACCAGAGAGAGGCGGGGACAGTGAGGAAGAAGAAAGGGGCGGAGCTATTGTGGCCCAATCTCAGCCCGCAAGGTCGGGACTCGCGAGAGCCCCTAGTGGCCCCGTACTACCGCGGGTACACTCTCCCGACCACCCAGTCCCCTCCTCCCCCGCGCCGACCCGAACCTGGCACTCCCAGACCAGACCTCCCCTGCCTGCCCGCCCACGCCCGGCCGGACTTCTGCGGGCTGAGTCCTGTGATTGACACCACGTCTTTCTGCTCCGCCCCCCACCTCCTCTCCTAGTGAAAGCAGTGGATGCGTGTGGGTGGGGCCACATTCCCTACCTCGGCGAACCCCACGGCCTCACAGAACAGAAGAACTCCGTGCCCAGCTCCCGACTGCCTCGATGCTGATTTCCGAAGCGCCGCTGTGCCCTCACCCACCTTTCTAACCCACAGTGTGGAGGGTTCACATGTGGAAAACTGCTACCAGGAGAAGGTCCTGCGCTTGAGGGCGCTTTCCTGTAAACGAGGGGCAGTCCAAGGACGCAGACTCCCTAAACCTTCGTATTCTGGCCAACGTTTGCCCTGCCTAGGCTGCCCCTCAGGCCTGGGATGGACTTTCTCCCACTTAGTGGCCTGAGGTCCCGGGATCCCAAAGGAAAGACACAGCAGCCAGTGAGACAGCCTTGACCTTTGGAAGATCAAATTACTTTCAGGACTGGCCCTCAGCAAGGTCTGCCAGATAGAGCAATGGTTCCACAGGGCCGTTTGCCCACCCAGCCTTCTGGCACCATCTTCCCCTCTCTGCAGTGGTGTAGTGAGCACAGCTGGCCCTTTAAGACAGCGCTGTGGCCTCAGGCTTCCCTGGAGGCCCTCTCAGCTTGGAAACTCCTAATTAAGGTGCAGAGAGAAGTGAAAAACAAGCAGCCGGGGACTGGCCCTACCTACCTAGGAGGCTGTCTAGAGAGGAGGGATGCATGGCTGGGCAGGGAGGGAGTGAGCAGCCCTTGGCGTCCCCTTGGGAGGACGCGAAGGGGTCAGTGCTCTGCTCCTTGGGCCACTGTCTCATGCTCCTAAGACAGTCACAACTTTGAAAACGAATGTGGCCAACAAGGGTCCCAGGAACACACCTCTCCCCTTAATTCGAGTTCAGCCTGGACTTTCCCATCTCCCCCCAGTTTCTCGGGATCCCCAGGGATTATCAATTCTAGGGATCCCCAGAGTCCAGCTCCTCCCAATTCACAACACAAAGGTCCAGCCTGTGGGCAGCTTTAGCTCTGGCTGCAGTTATAAGTTCCAAGGGGGAAAAGACTGGCTCCAGCAGAGCAGTGGCTGCTTCTTAGCAGACACCCTGCCACTTAGGGTTTTTTCAGAGGTAGAGGTGGGGCCTGTTGATAATGGAAGCCCCCCACCATCTTCTTGTAACAGTCTCTGTGCTAAATGAGCTTCCCCGGCCCCCATTAGTAAGCCAGATGATGTTTGGGAGAACTAGACATCAAAAACAGATGGGAGCATGTCCCCCAAGACCCTGCAGTGCAAAACGTTGGGGGCTGCTATTGAACTTGGTCCAAGAACACCTCCATCTGTCTGTGGGGGTCTCCCTGCCTGAGTTACTCAGCAGTCTGAGTAATTACTGCCTGACAAAGTGGGCAGAGCGCACCCCCACGTTACACCACAACACCTGCCTACAGTCACCCCCACCCCAGCCCTCCTGAAGCTGAAATAACTCTGCTTCTCACACTCACGCCCAGCTCCAGCTAGCTTTGCCTAAGATGCTGGAGTTTGTGGGGCAGGGACACATGGGGTGGTGGCAGAAGGAGTAACACACCCCAATTCGAGCTGACAGTTTGGCCCTGATCTGCTGAGCAAGTGATTTGGCCTCCTTGGGCCTCAGTTTACTCTCTGGAGGCCTCTGCAAGTTCTCAGTGTGGCTGAGTTCAGCTGCAGTGTCAAATGGCCGGGGCTAGGCAGGGTGCGGGTCGTCCAGCCCCAGAGCTGGTCCAGGCTAAGAGAAAGGATGCCCCACATCCTGTTCCTACCCCAAGATGGGTCAATCGTCTTAATCTTCAGAACAAGGTTACTTCCTCACCTCCTAGCATTTGCACACCCTCTCCTGCCCGAAGTGGCCTTTCTCCTCCTCAGCCTGTTGAACACAGCCCTCAGGACCTAGCCCAAGTGGCACCTCTTCTTTGATGCCCTCCTTGGTGGCCCTTCACCCCCCTACAGAGCTAACAGGGACCTCTCTCACACTTTGTATCTCCTCCTGTAATGCTCTAAGATGGTTTGTGGGTCTTTCTTCCCCAAGTTTCTGGAGATTCAAGTCTATAAACAGCTCACACCTGAGCTCAGGGCAGAGAGTGCATGTGTGAGTGAATGAATGACACCGACCTTTTTGACCTTCCTATCATGCCAAGTTTTTCTCCAACGAATCACACAACTCATTCTCTCACTTCAATTATATCTCTGCTTAGACGTCACCTGCTCAGAGAGCCTTCCCTAACTCCCTCATGTCAGCTCCAGAATAATAGCTTGTCTTTCAAGCATCATCTCATCTAGACTTTCCCCATTAGGTTCTTATTAGACTATAAACTCCACAAAGGCAGGGAGTTTTCCCATCTTTTTCATTGGCTGAAGTCCCAAGGATAATAGTGCCCTACACATGATAGACTCTAATAGATGTGTTGAATGAGTGCTTTAACCCACTTTTTCCTCTTCCAGGACCCGTCTATCTGAGGCCAGTAGGGGGTGCCGGCCTCCACCCAGAATCTTTGCTAGCCCTACCCTTCCCAACGCTCAGCCCTGCCTGCCCCCTGCAGGACCTACATTCTTAGGCGGTGCCTCCTCCATTTCCTACGAAGCCCCTGGTGGGGTCTGTATAGTTCAAGGGGAATCAGAGGGCCCCCTAGGCGGAAATAACCCACTTTAGCCCCACCTTGGTTCTTCTATTTAGGGTTTGCAACTGGGCCTCCTAGAATGCTTGCCTTGAGGTCTAGAGCCGCCTGGGAGCACGCCACACCTCCTCCCAAAAAGAACAATGTCCTGGGACTAAGGGTGCGAGGCGGTTGGGTTCGTCGGAGCCGTCTCAGGCTGGGAGGAGCCGTCCAAAGAGGAGATGGGCAGGGGTGCGGACTTGTGATCGAGGGCTTTGGGCGGCGGTCGTCTCGTCTCAGCCGGTCGGCGGAGAGCACTCTTCCAGCCGCTGGGCTGGGTGACCTCCATCCGCGAAGGGCGAACGCGCGGGGGTTGGGCTGCGGGTGCGAGCTCTGGGGAGCCCATGGGCCAGGGAGAGGCTTTCGAGTGGTCAGAGGACCGGCTAGGGGACTGGGGCAGGTACTTGAACGGACGCGGGTGGGGTAACGTCTCCCGGGGCGGGCGCAGCGAAAACACCTTGGGAGGCGGCGCCGCACGGCTGAGCGCCGCTGCCCTGGGAATAGGACGGCACTCGGCACCGCGAGCTGAGAGCACTTTCATAAATTTTGTATGGGAGGCGCTCCGTGAGCGGGGGCGGGGAGCGGAGCGAGGGGGAGGGAGCTAGCAAGCGAGGGAAGGAGGGAGGGAGGAGGAGAGGTGGGGGAAGCTGGGGGGAGGAAGGGAGGCGCCCCGCTCCGCCGAACACTCGGTCCTGCAAACGCGCGCCGGGCGCTTTCCCCGGAGCTCCGCGTTGCATGCGAGCGCTCTTTTGCAGCAGCCGCGGCGGCTGCGGCCCGAGGGGGCGGAAAGGAGGGGGCCGCGGCCAGGGGGCGGCGTCCCCCCTCAAAACCGCCTGCAAAGTGCTCTAGGCTGCAGAAGCAGGCCGCCGGCTTCGCGGAGCGAGACGCTCGTCCCGGAGCTGAGCGACCGCGCACGGCTGCCGGGCAGCGCCACGGTTGACGGTGGGCGCCGGTGCCCTCTGAGCGGGGCTAAAGCTCACCATGCCCCTGCGGGGCCGGGCCGCGGGGCACAAGCGGATCCCCGGTTTGCCCCCGCCTCGACGCGCTCGGATTAGCTGCGGCCAGCGCCCAAGGATTTGAATCCAGACCCCGGGAGGGAGCGCGCCTAGGCCGACCTCGGAGTGGCGGACCCGCGGCCAACATGCTTCGCAAAGGTGAGTTGGAGCCGCAGGGGCAAGTTGGAGTTGGATGCGCACGGGGCAGAGCCGCGAGCCTTGGATCCACCGGAAAGCTGTGTGGTGCCGGGGGCTCCGGCCCGGAAGCAGCTCCTGGCGGGTTGGAGGGCTTTGCAGGGACGTACCACCGGGGGGATGGCTGCTGGAGCTCAGTCTCGGCCGGCGGCTGGTTGCGAGACATGGGATTTGCCCCGTGGATCAAGCGACCAGGCCTGGGGATCAGGCTCGGCGAGGTCATTTTGAGACCACTGTGAGTTGTCCGGTGATGGAAAGGGAGCCGGCCTCCTGGGACCTTTGCTTTGCCATTACAAAGTTTTGCACTTGCAGGCTCAGTCCCCTGCGCGGGCACAAGTCGCCGGCTTCTGCTGCTGGGGGCGGGGGGGGGGCACATCCAACCCGTGCTCCAGCTCAGCCATAGGTCAGTCACCAAGTGGCGCGGGCGCTCCTTGCGCGCCCTAGCTTCCCAGGTGGGGCCCGGACGCTGGCACCTTCCTCGCAGCCCAGCTTTGGTCTCCAGGCTCCGGGCATCCACCGGTCGAGGGCGATGGCTTGCGGATAATGTCCGCTTCCTCAAACTTTCTCTATGCCTGGAGTGGAGAGATGAGAAGGCGAAGGCCGTGCTGGCTGCGTGCGCTGCCTGGGCCAGGCTGAACTTGAGATCTGGCTCTTTGACCACTACCCTCCGGCAGCCCGGCTCATTGCCGAGCGCTGCAAAGTTGGAGCGGGCGCTGGGGAAATCCCGCCGCGCCCCCAGGTGGCTGCCGCGCGGGGAGCGGGTAGTGGGGCGCAGGGAGGGCAGGTAACCGTGCTCTGGGCCCGTGGGCCCCACTACCCACTGCCCCGACCTCTGAGTCTTCCTCTTTCCCCTCCCAAGTCCGAGTGGGCTTCCATTCCCCGCCGG